CCTTTTCCCCTGCCTTTTTGTGTTCGTAAGTCAAAGCTTCGTTCACAAGTCAAAGCAAAATTATGTGAACAGAGCTGTTCGTAACTCAAAACATTCATAGGTCAAGGCGTTCGTAAGTCAAGGCACCACTGTAGTGAGCGGTGACATACATCCACCAATTCTCCCCCGCCCAGCAATTAAGTTTTTAGGAAACACTAGAAAGGGATATCAAAACAACACTTGGGATTAGATTATTTTAGAAGTGCAGAGCTGGAAAGGACCCTATGGATCATTGACTCCGGCTACTGTCAAAGAGATACAGTGGAGAATCAAACTCCCAACCTCTGGCTCCACAGCCAGATGCCTAAGCGGTTTATCCATTAAAGCAAGCACATATTTTCCCTTCTTAAACATTGCACCTCCAGATAGCAGTAGTTTTCTATTGTCAAATGCATCTTAGATGACCAATTATGAAACAAAAGCAGAGCAATTGGCCAAATGCAGATCTAGGCAAGCTTGTTTTAGAATAACAAGACCGTCTTAAGGATACACTGATTTGGAATTTACATCCTTTCATGGGTCCTTGATCAGCCCAAACAATTCCTCCAAGATGGCTACCTTACTTTTTAAATGTAGAGACCCCAAAGCCATCCACATAGAATGATTCAGGAAGGATTTGTGGAAAAGAAGTGAATATATAAGGAGTATACTTAGGAAAATAGGTGGGGGTTTATGGAGGAACAGAACATGGACATTCACAGAATTGTGACCTAGAAGTAAGACCATAGGAAACAAATAAATCTTCAAGATATGGCATGGAGAAGTATTGTGTTTCAGCACATTAGCAACATTAAAGACTTTTCTGCCCATTGCAATAGCAAAGTACATGGGGCACTTATATAATAAAGACAGCCTTCCAGCCAGGAAACTTGGACATTCACAGAATTGTGACCTAGAAGTAAGACCATAGGAAACAAATAAATCTTCAAGATATGGCATGGAGAAGTATTGTGTTTCAGCACATTAGCAACATTAAAGACTTTTCTGCCCATTGAAATAGCAAAGTACATGGGGCACTTATATACTGTAATAAAGACAGCCTTCCAGCCAGGAAACTAAAGGAAGACATCTATATAGACTGACATTCAGCATTTGAACAACCAGGAAAGAAGTACTTGGATCAGAATGAAAGCTTCCAAAGAGTGTTTATGCAAGCTGCAAGATTATAGAATGAGAAACTGACCCGGATCTTTGTTGAGTTCACACAGTGAAAGGTCAAACCATGCCTGTACTAAAATAATAATGAGAGCAATTGGATCTTATCCTGATATATGTAATAACTTGGTTCTGCACCATGAAAACAAGCAGTGGGATAATATATGATCAGAAACAGAAGTTAGAGGAAAAGGAACTGTGAGATACTATGCACCAGAAGTACAAAGGAAAGATGGGGGGAAACTGCTTTCAGAACCAACAAACTAATTACAAACAAGATGTACGTTGATAGCGATATGTGGATGCAGATCGGCTTGGAGACAACACAGACCAGAAGCCAACAAGATCAGACTATCCCCTGTAGCCTAGGGAGGTTCCAGTGTTAATTCCCAACTGCTCCACATGTCCCTTTGTGGACATCTGCACGTCAGACATGCATACATTTTTGAAATCTCAGTATTTCTAAGATGCCCTGATCTCTGTCGTTTAGTATCACACCTTCGAAGGTTTCTATTGCATCTGAAAGTTAAATCCTACTTGGTGTGTTAGTGAGGAAAACATGAAAGTGTCAATTTGACAGAGCCACACATTAGAAACAAAAGTGTTTGTTTTTAAAAAACAGTGTGGCAGAGAACAGCAGGATACAGTTATTATTTTTTTAATTACTCCCTCAGCCATTCTCAATCTTTTTTGGCCATGGAGCTTTTAAGAGTTCTCAGGTTCCAGGGGCCCCCATGTCAAACAAGGATACAACATGAACAGGTGAATAGAAAATTCCCTTCTCATATTTTGCCAGTCTGTGGCCCCCTTCAAAAATGCCAGGGCCCCCACTGAGAATAGCTGCTCTAAATCAGTGGTTCCCAGTCTTGGACTGCAACTCCCAGAAAACCTGGCCAGCACAGCTAGTAGTGAAGACTTCTGGGAGTCTTAGTCCAAGAATATCTTGGGACCACAAGGATGGGAACCACTCCTCTAAATTATGTTTCGTTCGTACTCTTAGATAGCAAAGCCTATGGTTTACAGCGATATGTTGCACAGAGAACAGTAGATGAAAGCAGACTAGAGTTTCAGAGAAGAACAATTCACAGGAGGGCTTTCAGCCTGATTTCTTAGGAGCTTTTTAGCCTCCCACGGTATTATTCCCTTGCTTTTCTTTCACTTAGGAGAACATTGCTACAAATAGAGATGACCCAGGAGTATTTTTATCTATTAGGAAAGGGTAATACTGCACAAATATGCTTAGGTGGCTAAAACACAACAAGCTAAGCCCCTTGAGGCCTGTTTTCTAGTTATTCTTTAATAAGTTTCTAGTGGTTTCCCCTTCCCCCCCCCAACTCTGCTCATGCTGTATATCATGACCTTATCTACATGCTCACATATGGCTACCATAGTGTGAGAGGAAAGACCAAAGACAAGAGGTCTTACTGGTGAAGCCGTCTCTCCTTAAGATATCCAAAGGGACTCGAAACAACCCCACCTCCTACCCCACCCCGAAAGAAAGACCAAGGGATAGACACCCGAGAGCTGGAGCAGAAGAACATGAGGGAAAAAGGGATATCGTGAGCAGTGGATACCCAAGACTTAGAGAAAGAGTTGAAAGGGTTAAGTGTGGCTATTCCATCTAGGGTCAAAATGGCGGGAAAAGAGGAGAAAGGGCAGGCTCTGGAAGAAGGGGGGTTAGGGGAAATATATACTGTACAGCCCAGGACAATATCCCAGGTGGTTGGGAAACGGACTGGATGAAGGATCCATGGACTGGGAAATGGGAACCGGTTCGCGTCCCTAAGGCTAAAGCTGAGAACAGGAGGCGTAAAGGTTTACCCCAGAGACCATCGTATTGGGGTGAGTCTGAGACAAGGGAATGGAGAAGGAAGCTTAGAGAGGAGAAGGAAGCTATTGCCAGAGAAAACGAGGAACGCCGGGCATGGCATCTCGAAAAGTTAAGGAAGATGGGGTGCTTCCAGGTCCTTGGGGTGACTCATCAGGAGAAGGAACCCTGTTATGGGGCTGGATGGGGAATGAAGAGACCCTCCCGCTTTTAAACCAGGATGATCCCGGGACTAGAGACAGTTGAAACAGAACGGGTGATTGCTGGGCCTTGGAATGTTACTACTGCTAATCTGTTTGAAGAAAACTTATGGTTGCCCTTGTCTGAACCGTTGCTTGAACAAGAGATACAGAGGAAAGATCATGTTAATGTTAATACCCTGTTGGTTGAATTAATAAACAACACAAATCCATTTGATTCCAATGAGTCTGGTGATTTATTCAAGAAAGGGGAAGCCCATCTACATGAACCTTCACACATAGTTTCTGCAAATTTCTCCACAAGAAAAAGCATGGCCGTAATTATCCATATTCTGGAGCCTCTGGGTTTAGGTGCAGTAGTTGAGTACTGCATTCAGAAAACGTCTTGTCCATTTGCTACAGACATAGCTGTTAGATTACTGAATTAATCGATGTAGAGAGCATCTCTTACAAGGTTTTAAATGGATGCACTGTTTGACAGTTTGTTTGCAGGTTCAGCTGAAACAGGATGGTGCTGAAAGAGCAGTATATATCTGTAATGTCTGTTGCATATTTTTAGCAAGTTAAATAGCAATTTGCTGTGATTATATATTCTTAAAATATAGCATGTCACTGTAAGATATTAGTTTATAAATTGGTATTACCTCAAAATATCCTTCCTTCCTTCCAATACCCAGACCAGCTTTACATTTTTTTTGTTTTTGAGGGGAAAGGTTTGCAGCACTTAACATAGATTTTTCTTTAATTGTGATTTAGCATTTCTCATGTGATGCCGAGGACTGAGTTTATTAGGAGAGCAGTACAAGCTCAGTTCTGAGATACATCAGATTTTCTCATCATGGGAACTGTATATAGTCATGTGAGTGTGAAGAGGGGTACAAGTAGCAACCCAATAACTAGCAGCAGTTTGCCACTGTGATTTAGACCAGCGGTTCCCAAACTTATTCAGTCCACAGACCAGCGGGGGAAGGCGGGGCACCTCCCACACTCATGCGCATGCATGAATGGCGACACGGAGCTTGTGCGGGAGCACGAGCGAGTGTGTGCCCACACAAGCACCACAGTGCCGTTCACGCATGCGCATGAGAGTGTGCACAGGCGCAAACAGCCTTTGTGGGGGTGAGTGCATGCGGGGCTGGGGCAGTAGGTCTGTCTTCGTGTCCTGATCAGGCTCAGGCCGCGGACTGGGGGTTGACGACCTCTGATTTAGACCAGTGCATTTACACCAGAGTAACTAAGCAATAAAATTTTGGCTGTTCATGGTGTTACACTCAAAAGCACTCCTTAACCACATGTGCATGTTGGAATCTTTATATACTTTCATCCTTTTCTTTGCTGGTATAGACATGGTGATCATGAACAATAATGGTTGCATGGTACTGCTTTTAGAGCAGAAGGGGTGCATTGATACGTAGAGCTGAACCTTGTGTGTTTTTCCTGTTTATTAATAGCATTTTTCCCCATGCATTTTTCCTCCCAGCTGAGCTTGCTTCCATAGCAAAGGGGCAAAACACTTGAAGGGAAAGGTAAGCTGCAAAAAGGAAGGGAAAGTTGAGTGACTGCCCTCACTTGTAACTGAGGCAGATCTAGGCTTAGTAGCACTTAGTTTGATGCTTATCAATAAGAAAAGGGTACAATAAGATTTTCCTAAGGTTTTGATATATCATAAAATACCTACGTGGAAAGAAGTATCATGCGCTGAAGAAAATGAAGACTTCAGCTATGCATTTGAATGTGGTATGAAATCATCCTTAATTGTCAACTTTTTTTTTTAATAGGACAGATCATTCAGGAGAGGAGATTCATGGAAGCTGATGGTATAAAGGAGCATGAGTACGAAGTAGGGAGCATTCCAGTGGAATGGGAAGGTAATGCATGCTTGGGGCACTTGGGGATGATGTGTTTCAGAAGGTGACCTGTAATATTTTTTTCAGTCTAACTTAAAGGGATGCAGCAGAACAGCAAAGCCAAATTACTGGTTTAACATTGAAAATGGCAGACTTTTCTCCCTTGGACAGCCATTTCTCTGGCTTATTCAGAAAAAAATCCTTTGTACAGCACTATAAGGGGAAGTACTGACTTCTGAGGTTGAGAAAATTGGGCATATATAAATAAAAGGGGATGTGTAGAATTCAAAGTCAGAATGTCTGATGAAAAAATGTATAACTTTGTTCATCAGCTTTGAAAGCCTTTGGCACTGAGAAAGTGGCCTTGACATAATGACCATGATTAAGAAGACACAAGTACAAAAAAAGCCTTTTTTCAGATAGATATGCCTGCAAATCTCAGCAGTTTATTTGGCTTTCCAGCCCAGAAAATAAACCATGTGTGGCAAAGCACACTTTTATTAGCTGTATTTGCATTTTTAACACAGCACTTGCTCACCCTTATAATTACCATAACATTTTTTTTCCTTTTGTGATTATGGCGGCATTGAATTGGAAGGATTTGTGTAGGGCAGGGAAATAAAAAGCATTCTGAATAGGCAATAGTCTCTTTCTTTCTTTAAGCACAATTCTTTTCAAGGAATGGGAAGGAAATGTTCAGACTGCTTTGTTTCCCATCTATTATTTGGACCGAGGAGGTGTGCAGTGTATTCTTGTTTATGACAGAGAGGTGAGGGGAAAAATGTAGGTGCTTAAATGCAAAGAACAACATTAACTGGATTTCTAGTTAACATTTTAAGTGCTGAAATGTTGTTTGAATGTGGTGGTGAAGAAAATGATGGTGAAGAAAATGATAATCATAATCTTTTATTGTGTGCTCCTTCAGTAATGGAAAAAAGCAGTGGGCTTTCATAATATTGGCATTTATATAACACCTTCCAATGAGGAAAGCATTGTGTCAGTTCTAATGCCAGTTGTGCAGAATGGAGGGCATCACTCACCTTCTCAGGATCTTTCCTGCATGATCCTGTGGATTCTGCTCATTTTCCAGACCTGTCTAAGAAGGTTGTATAGGTTTTACGAAAGCTTGCATCTGGTGCACTATAAATGACATCATTATTTTACGTACTAGCAGTGTCATTACTTCTCAGAATTAATGTAACAGATGATAACATTGCTAACATTTTTTAAAGCATAGCTGGATTAGAAGATTTTTTTGGCCACTTTTAATGCATTTTTCCCCCCAAACATGTAATTTAAAAGTAACAGAAAAGTAATACATTCGCTGTGGGTAAAGTTACAAATTGTTCTTCGTTAACAAGTTGTGAGCAGTGGTAATGAGCTTCTTTTGAAAATAAGGACCTGTTCAGACTCTTGTTTGGATCAAAAAAGCGGATGGAAATAGGTTTGCAAAAAAACTATGGGCACAAGTGAATAGATTCATATATATACACATTAAAACACTTACACATAATACAGACACATCAGCCCTCACCCCCAGCTCTGCCATTAAGGAAGGCTTTTTTTTTCACTCTGCCAGGTTTCCCTTTCAAGAAACTGAGGTGATGTGCTTTGCTATGGGTATTGTCTTGAGGATGCAGACTAGTGATAAACTTATTATATTTATTCTAAATGTTCACTGATTGTATCTAGTGATAGAGTATGTCATTTACCTTCTCCACACACGTCATTGGTCCTTATAAAAACTTCTCTGTCATTTTCAGTCTCTGCAGATATTTAGGATTTTGTATGCCCCAAGTTACATTTTACAGCTTGCCTAGTCTCTCTCTCCCTCCCTCCCTTTCTCTTTCTGTTCTAATGGGTAACATTTAGTGATTAATGGGAATTTTAATTTGCATGCTCACTTTTACGCTCATTACAATGCGTTATACGCCAGTAGGTGCCTTAAAGTTCAATGAAAATCTCATGCATACTGATGAGAATGCAAATGGGTACAGATGAAAGAAGGCCAGGGTCTCAAGGTATGAAATGTCCAGTTTATCTTGCCAAATTCCACTCAGACAAATGTAGCGTTATCACAAGCACAGACTGCAGATAGGACCATATTTATATAATTAATGAAGACTATGTAATTAGACAATTTGAATTGCAGCAAGTAGATTTACAGTTGCTTTGAAGAGAAGTTGTACTGTGGGAGGAAGTCTCCCTCTCCCTCTCTCTCTCTCTCTCTCTCTGTGTGTGTGTGTGTGTGTGTGTGAGAGAGAGAGAGAGAGAGAGAGAGAGAGACTTGCTTTTTTGTCATTTTCAGCTAGAAATTGTCCTGGGTGAGACTACATGAAAGTGTTTTGGGATGGTACATTTCAACATTTCTTTTAGATTAGTTTGGCATGGCTGAATTTTCAAGCTTTAAAGGGTAAGAATCCTATTAATGTTTATTAAGAATTTGCTTGCATATGCTGCAACAATATTTTTTCTAAATTTTAATGGGGTCTTACTCTTTTGGGCATATATCAGCGGTTTTAGAAAGAAACTAAGAGTATAATATAGAGGACGGATGCTAAAATAATTCTTCAAATTAAGATTTGAAGAAGAATTTATGGGTTAACAGAAATTATGTTTTTGAATGGTACCAAGGAAGAAATCCATGAGGGAGATGTATTAAACTTCTTGTAAACATCCTCTTTTCAATTCTTTAGAGACAGACTCTAATGGAAAATAAATCTGGAAATTTCTGTCATAAGGAGTCATTCCCAAAAGACCTAGAAAGATAAGAGTGAAATTGCATTAGCTGCCTTTTATGATGCCTAAAGCAGACTGAGATCTGTATGTTTGAATATTAGGATCACCACAACAATAAAAACGCATCGTTTTTATCTCTTAAGTTTTGCCTTTTGTGAACATCAGACTATGTATTTCTGCTTCATTGGCATCTGATTTCATTGCGGTAGTTTCGACCTCATTGTCACATTGCCAACAGAAGCATGATTTGTAGGTCAGGTTGTTTTCAGTTGTGATGCTTAGGCAATGAAATAGTTTCTAAGAGATGATCACCAAAATGTCTCTTACTAATTTTTAAATAAGATTTGAAACCTATTTTATATAGGCCAAACATTTTCTTTGGCGAAATAGCCTGACACATCAGTTTTGGTAATTCCATAGTAGTCTCTTGAGCCACAGCATCCTTACAGTATCTGAACTAAGGATCTGTAGCTTCATGTTGGCCTATTAACCAAGATCCTAGCTGACCCAGTCTCCATACTGAGAAGTTTTATTTTGCTGTAGGTGAAATATGGTTTTATAATGCAATTTAGTTGTGTAGGAACTGTACTTAGTTTAATGTACTGATTGTTTCATTGTATAACCGTGATTTTCATAGTTATACCAAATATTAATATTGAAGTACAAATGATAGGTGGAATGTAAATAAGGCTTGTGTAATTATTTCACAAAATTTTGTACTGAGACCAGCTCTTGTAAGTACATTTTAAAAAGCATGTAACTATACTCTGAAGGAGTCAAAGGAAGACAACAAAGAAGAAAATTGTTTCAGGAGCATGATGAATATTGAGACTTAATACTGCTTTAAGAATTGTACCATCTTTGTCTAGTTCATTGTAATAGACTAATTAGAGTTATTACTATTGCTTTAATGTCATTAATAACTGTGGTTAGATAATCAAAGCCATCTGCATCAGCATTTTGCCAGACGTAGAAAGAATCTCTTCTCCCTGCTTAGCTGAGATGCCAACTCAATTTAGAGTGGAGGTGGACTTTTCAAAAGAATCTTTACAGGACAGGTTATTGACCGTACTTTCTTATTATAGCCAGCATGTCCTTCTGCCTTGAAAATAGCAAGGGAAAGTTCCGTTTTAACAGAAGCAGAAACAACTTGTCATTTCCCCCTCAACGTCTTGTTTTGACTATCAGGAATGAAGGCATGACTTCTGATAGAAATCAGTTGATCAGTCCTTTTGATTAACTTGCTGCTGTGAGAGCCCAAGCTAAAATAGAGCTCAAGTTGTTCTTTATTGAACCAGTCAGAAGAAACTGGTTCTTGCAGGCTTTCTCTTTGCGGCAGTACAAGTTCAGTGGACACATACAAACCTCCTGCTACTACCTCTGTTTACCTAGTGGTGTTTGCTTTGAAATAAGAGGAGGATAGGTTGCCACTGAAAGCTAGCTGTTCAATAAGAAAGGTATCATCCATGCAGGATGACCTCCTGCGGTATCTCAGCAGCCTTTGATGCCATCGACCCCGGTATCCTCTTGGGCCGGCTCTCCGAGTTCGGGATCGGTAGCCTTGCTTTGGTGTGGCTCCATTCCTTCTTGGAGGACCATCCCCAGACAGTGCAGCTTGGTGAGATGACTTCCACGCCGTCGATCCTCAATTGTGGGGCTCCACAGGTGTCAGTCATCTCACCAATGCTATTTAATATCTATATGAGGCCGCTGGGTGAGGTCATCTGGAGTTGTGGGGCCCGGTGCCATCAGTACGCTGATGACACCCAGCTCTGCCTCTCCTTTTCTCCAACTGCAGTGGATGCTGTTCCGACCCTTGAACGCTGATTGGGTATTGTTCTGGAGTTGATGTGGGCAAATGGACTGAGGTTGAATCCAGACAAGATGGAAATCTTCACGTGGGCGGACTTAGCACCAGCGGGTTGGGAAACTCCCTCTCCTTTGGGGGAGTGACTCTTCCCACGAAGAGTGAGGTTCGCAGCTTGGGCATCTGCCTCGACCCGGATCTCACCATGGAAACCCAGGTGGCATCTGCGGTCTGGGCAGCCCATTTCTATTTTCGGAGGATTGGCCAGCTGATTCATGCCCTCATAATCTCAAGAATAGACTACTGCAGTGCTCTCTACATGGGGCTACCCTTGAGGCTTATGCGGAGACTTCAACTGGTCCAAAATTTGGTGGCCAGATTAATAACTGGGATGAAGAAATTTCAGCACATCTCCCCCACTCTGGCCATGGCCACCCTTCACTGGCTACATTGACTTCAAGGTTATGATGATAATATTCAAAGCCCTAAACGGTTTAGGACCTTGATACCTATCAGAACACCTGCTCCCAGCCAGATCTGTCCATAATACCTGTTCTTCACAGGGAGGGTGGTTGAAGGCCTTGACCCCGAAGGAGGCCATCCTTTTCATCACCTTTTTACCACCTTCATTGCCATCTGATTTAATTTATCTTGTTGCTATGTATTATTCTATTTTCTATCTTTTTTAATACAGTGGGGTCTTGACTTAAGAACGGCTTGAGTTAAGAACATTTTGACTTAAGAACCGCTCTCATAGGAAAATATTGACTTGACTTAAGTACTTAGATTTGAGTTAAGAACTGGAAAAAACCCACGTGGGAGGCAGGGAAAGTGCAAAATGTGAACTTTCAGTTAACTGTTGGCCAGTGAAAAGGGTGCCTGTCTGCTTCCTCACTCCTCCGAGCGTGTAGAGAGTGGATTGGGAGTCTTCAGACTGCCTGGACTGTATTTTCCCTGCCTTCCCTGAACCTTTCTTGACCTAAGAAAAAAAGAAACAAAATATCCCCCTCTAGTGGTCGAAGGCGGAATAGCAGCTTCTCATTAGTTTCTATGGACGGAAAAGAGCAGATACGGATCAAATGGTTTTCAATGCATTCCTATGGGAAATGCAGATTTGACTTGAGAACTTTTTGACTTGAGAACCGCCTTGCAATACGGATTAAGTTCTCAAGTCAAGACCCCACTGTATTGCTTTTATATTGTTGTTAACTGCCCAGAGTGGCCTGGTTGCTAGATGGTGTGGGGGATGTATGTATGTATGTATGTATGTATGCATGCATGCATGCATACATACATACATACATACATACATACATACATACATACATATCACCTGCTCTTGCATTTGTATTAATGATTCTGAGGCATGATGTTGTAGGCATTTGCTCTTCATTGGGGATGAAGCACACAAAATAAAATAGCTTGTCCAGCCCTCCCCCAGTTTTCATATTCCCAGATGATATGCTCTCCCAATGCTCAGTGAAACTACTTTTGGGAGTAAAACTGTTTTCAATGCCAGACTTCCTTCTCTTGTAATCATAACAGATATCATAGTTCCTTGGCGGTGGGGGGGCACACTCATGGAGAGCAGAATACTTCTCTAGCTATACCGTTCTGTCAGACTTGAAAACCAAACTCAAGAAAAAATATTCAGATCATGTACATCTACTGATCTTGAAGTGTGGAAATCTACCAGTGCACACCAGTGCAAAATGTGAAGAATGAGAAACATTTCTATGAATTGCTAAAAGAATGGGGGAATTGGGGGATTAAGAATATAGAAAAATAGGGCATGTGGGAAGAAAGAGTGAAGAACACCTCCTAGTTTCAGCAAAGAGCAGTGAAAGTGGCCTCCTTTTAGAGCCCTGAGGAACTTGAAGCAGTCAAAATGTCCCTATATTTGTGGGGGTTTTTGATGGCTTGTTTTTTGTTAACCACAGTTTTCATAGTGCTGGGGCACATGTAGGGGATGGTAGGGTATCTGTAATAAGTATAGAAGCCCTTCCCTACCACACAACTGTGTTCATTTAGGCTTAATTTCAGGCATAGCTGTGTAATATTAACTGTAGACTTAATTACTTCTTGAACAGTTCAACTACAGCAGCAGTTTTCATCTTTACAAAAATTGTTTTTGTTTTATTGTTTTCTTGCTTGATTGCTTTTAGTAGAGAATTTTAAGTAATTCTAAGGAGGTTCAGCTGGGCAAGAGTCTTTCTGTCTTGAACACGATTATTTCGGGGAGACTAAGACCCACTGTCTAATTTTGTTCCCTTGTCACCTATGAGGTTTAGTTTCCTTGTCACCTATATTCCAGGGCCCATGCCTTTGTTATGATCTTCTGTCTAATTTAATGCTTCCCAAGATGAGGGTGAGGTTCAAAAGACAGAGCTTTGGTATAGTTGGCCCCCTTCCCCGCTCCAGAACATTTTCCCTTGATAATTATGTTTAGGCTGTTTCTTATACTTTTTTTCATAGACCTGAATATGTTTTTGTTTGAGACTATTAATCAAGAGGATAGTTCTGGGTTTTTTTCTGTTCTTCTTGCTATACTGTTGAAGACGTTATACTGAAATGGATGACTACGTAAACAGAAGCAATGCTGTTGTCTTGCTTTGCTTTTTTTTAAATTGTTTTTGTTTTATTGTTTTGTTATCTGTTTTGTACTCTTAATAAGGATATAATTTTTAATTTGTTTCCACCTGGGGAAATTTCACAGGTAGCATATAAATCCTGCATTGAACTACTAATACAGTTTTGAGGGGATGTTTTAAAATGTGTGACCTTGTTTCTTCTTCCCCTCCCCCACAGCTTGGATGAGGAAAAAAAGAAAAGACCCACCGACAGTTGAGGTAAGAGACTTCATATGTTTTTATTCTAGTCATGCATTCAATCAGAAACTGATTTTTTGAACTTTATTTTGAGTTGCATCCATCAATTTATATAAATTTCCTTGAGAACGTTCTAGGGTAGAAGTGGGAATTGTATTCCTGGGCACTGCATTCTTTAAAAAAACTCTCTTTAAATTAAAATTGCCTAACACAATAGGAAGATGAATTTGTTGTTTGTTTAATCATCTGAAAGGAGAATCTGGTATTCCTGAAATCACTATAACAGATATTCCCCAAAGAGAAAAAAAGATTCTGCTTGAAACACAAAGCCAGGGTTGAAGCTGTTTTGCAAAAAGGAAAGGAATTCAGACTACAAATCATCTCTATCCATTGTCACTCAAACATTGGCACATTAACGCAGTCCTCTTGTATCTTAAATTTCACCTAAGTAAACGTAAGAGATGAACTCCACTCTTTGGTGACCTGAAGGAACATTATTTATTTGTTTGCTTGCTTGCTTGCTTGCTTGCTTGTTTGCTTGCTTGTTTGTTTATATCATTGAATAATGAAGCTGGAAGGGGCTTGTAAGGCCATCAAGTTCAACCCCCTGCTTGAAGCAGGAATACAAATCAAAGGATATCTGCCAGGTGGTTGTCTAAGTTTCTCTTGAACACTTCCAACATTGGAGTGCTCATCACCTCTTGAGATAATTGGCTCCATTGCTGTACTGCTCTAACAGTTAGGAAGTTTTTCCTGATATTCAACTGAAATCTGGCTTCTTGTAATTATGTGCCACATTTCTCTCCATAAGGGACCCAAGGTGCCTAAAAGTATGTATAACAATCAAGAATTTTTAACACACCATATAAATATTGTATTAAAAATTAAACATGTATCAGGATTAAAAACACATTTAAAACATTTTAGAAACATTTAAAATCTCCAAGTTTAATAAAGATAGCATTCCTGAGATGCTGATTGCTTAAAAGCCTGCCTGAAAAGGAAAGTCTTTGCCTGGTGATGGAAGGACAAGAGGGAAGGGGCCAATCTGGCTTCTTAGGGCAGCACATTTCAAAGTCTAGGAACAGTTGCTGAGAAGGCTCTCTGCTTTCCTTGGGTGAAGCCCAATAAACACAACAGGATCCCCCATCATAGATAACTTGGAATGGACTAGTAAAGCATATGTGACTGTGGATAGGACTGCACTGCAAGTCTCCTGAGTGTAGATATTGACACTGTGAAAACATGTGTGTCATTTCACCTATTCTACACAACAAGTGATGCACCATATAGTGAGTAGGGTGACTGGTATGTTTACAGAGCAGTATGTGCTGGGTGGGTTTTATGGTTCTGTATTGTGAGAGGTATGAGACATCCATCTGGAGTCTGATTCTTTGCTTCTGAGCATACAGATTCAATCAATGTCTTCCTTAAAGCTATAGTTTTCTTTCTTTATCTTCCATGATTTTTAAAACATAAGAACATACAGACAACCCTAATCTAGCCTTTCTCTTAAAGAGACAGATCATACATACTACAAGATATTACACATACATCTTCTCCTATGAGCTGGTGTGTTGTTCAAAGCGTTCCCCAGTGAAATGTATTCCTAGATTTTAAAAAATATTCCGCCAAAAGCTAGTCTGAAGGAGAATGGATAGAAAATAATCCGTTTTCATCCCATAGTTGCATCTACAAATAGCCTTCAAGTAAAAGCCACAAGTAGATACACCAACCTTTCAGAAGGTGACAAGACTGAGAACTGCAGCCACAACGAATAGTAGCCATAATAAGACAAGTTCCAAAAAGGGAAAAAAATGCACAGTCTTTGCTATTAGTTTCTTGGGTTGCAAGATAACATGGAAACCTTTCATCAGCCATAACTAGACAGGGCTAAACCCTTGGTATAATTCAGGAAATAATAACTCCCCCACTGCCTTTTATTATGGTTGTTGTTAAATTACAGTCCTCCAAGCCACTTGCCAATGTATATTATCCAAAGCAGCATAGGATATTACTCTCTGGTATCTCACAGAGGTAATGAAACATGCTTTTCACAGCCTTGACATGCTCTCTGTAAATGGTTTGAACTGAAATGCAAGGTACAGTATGCATCAAATGGGTGGGATGGGAAATAATCTTAACCTGACACTGAAAATATAGTAATGTCAGTGGATCTTACTAGAAAGAGCTTAGTATATCAAGGGGGCCCAGTTTAAATATTCTGCTGTGAGACCCGGGGCGAGAGTGTGGAAGCTCTCACCGGAGTGCCGTCCCCCTCCAAGGTTGACAGGGAAGTTCAGACAGCCCCTCTCACACCACCAAAAGAGACCGCCCCGCAGGGAACGGATACCCGGGACTTGGAGACAAAATTACAAGGGGCAACGGTAGCAATTCAAACCCCAGAAGAAATGGCGAGAAAGGAGAGGAAGGAAAGAGTGCTGGATGGAGGTGGGAACGTCGGATAAAAAAGTGAGGGACAATCCGATATCAGGGGGTTGGGAAATAGTCTGGGTACAAGACCCATGGACAGAGAAATGGGAAAGGGTGAGGGTCCCTAGGGAAGAAGCTGACTATAGGAGGCATAGGGGACTTCCCCAAAGACCATCATATTGGGGGAAGACTAAGGCTTGCGAGTGGTGTCGCAAGTTGAGAGAGGAGAGGGAAATAGTGACCAGGGAAGAGCCAGAATGTCAGGCATGGTGACTGGAGGAAGCCAGGAGGAGGGAGTATATGATGGACCCTGGACCCCATTCAAGGGACAGAGAGACCAGGACTGGTTTTACCCTCGGGACAAGGAGATCACCCCATTATTAGACTGTGGAACTACCGAGGAGAACAAAGAGGACTCGGTACCCTTGTGACAAGGGCCATGGGGAGAATCAATGTTGAATCCGTTTATAAAAGAAGCTTGGAACCCCTTGTCTGACCCGCTGGCGACAGGAGAACAGTTTTTGAGTAAAGAATTGGACAAGGACTTTCTGTTTGATACTTCAGTAAATCCTAATCATGGTTCAAAGTTAAAGACGACTCCGAATTTCTTTGGGGAGGTTAAGGAGGCGAGATCTGAACCCTCACATCTACTCCTGTTCCACTAGTGTCTGATCTCAAGTTCTAAAAGGATCTAAGATTTTGATCTCAGAATAATTGCAGTCTCATGACTAGTAGACATGTCTTCATCCTCACGATTGTTTCCCTGCCTGTGTCCTCACCTGTGCAGCATAACCAACCTTAGAAGCAGAATGACTCAGGAAAAGTTTCAAGAAACCTGACTGATAATAGTGCTTGGAAGGGATTAGGGTGCCCAAATGCTGTATGCTGGGAAGCATCTCTTTCAAGACTTGTAAAAGTTCTGGATTATAACTCCCAGTAGCTTCCAACTACCATAGCAATTCAGGAAGTTGTAATCTAAAACAGTAATGTCTCCATGTTCTGCTCTGTGTTCTTCTGTACAGGCTTTGTAGGCTTCATTGAATGGATGGGGTATTTTTCTGATAGTTTATTCAAGGCCTTTCTCTCTATACAGAGAAAGAGGCAGGATCTGTTCTCAGTCATCCCAGAGTGCAAGACACATAATAATGGTGTCAAAGTACAGGAAGCCAGATATCAGAGAAAACTTACCCTGGGAGGTGGTGAGCACTCCCAACGCCAGAGGCATTCAAGAGAAAATTGGACAACTATTGTAAGATCTATTTTGACTTGGATTTCTGTCATGAGCAGAAAGTTGAACTCGATGGACTTATAGGCCCCTTCCAAATCAATTATTCTCTGATTCTGTAGTATTTTCTTCCCAATCTGCCATCTTGGGGCTTGTTTTAAGAGAAAGAATAGAGATAAATTAGATAAATAATAAATAAATACATTTCATTATCTATAGTTTGCCACAATTTTTTCCACAGATTATTATTGGTTCGCCCCATTATGATCTTAGTATTTCCATGGTTAATGCAGCGTTATATTTGGTATAACTTTACTTAGGGATTGTTTTGAGCTCTGATGTAAAAATACATTTTTGACCTCATATTAATCATACTCTGCTTTTCTCCTAAAAAGAACCCATATCTTGATACAACTTTGTCCCATCATTCTTCCACCATTTTCTCACAATCATCCCCTTTCAGGCAATAGTATTATTATAAATGAAAGGGAGGAAGGGAAAAGAAAAGAGGATAAAATGAAAAGGCAATTTTTTTTGTTCTGTTTCATGCATTGTGACCCAACCAGCGATAATCTCATTTCAGTTAAATCTGTCTGTAGTTCCAAATGTTTGTGCTGTTCTTTAAAAAATGTCCTTGTGTTTTAGCTTTTCCGTGGGCTGCCAGTTTCAAAGGATCATACATCTGTTTCTCCTTCCTGCCCCTTTTTAAGGGCAAGGGTCAGGTTCCCATTGGCCTTAATACTTGCCTTGTTGAGTATAGGGGGGAAAACAGCTTATTTGTATTCTTATCATCTGTAGAAGAATCCTTCATGAATGTGAACATCTTCCAAGCTCTTCTTCTTTTATTGTTGTTCGAAGTTCCTTTTTGTGCATTGGTCTGTAGGGCTAAAACACTTAGACACAGTTAATAAAAGACTAAGGTGATGTGTATGTGGCTCCATTTCCTTGTCCATTGCTTCTCCACTCCAGATCATTCTCCCACCACCATGTGACCTCTAGACTGCCGGATTCCTTGCAAACAAATGTTTGGGAATTAACTCGAGCAAATTTGGAGTGGAGAATTGAAAGGGAGGCAAAGGAGTTTGGCACCTTCTCTGTTCCATGTCCAGTGTTTCCCATGTGGCTTTTCTTTTACAACAGCAACAAAAAGCCAACAAAAAGTGACATTTTGCTGTGAGGTATTTCAGTGTAAACTTAAACTAGGCCCTGTGTTATTCACTATAAAGCAGCCAAGTTCTATCAGGTAACTGAATCCTCACTGAAGTTGTGTCAGTAAAAATGCACTGTTTCTTTAAGGCACAAGATAATTTGCTTTTTTTAAAAAAAAATATTTAATGTGAAATTGAATTCATTTGTATGGGTA